TGAGGAAAATCCAATATTCATTATTTGATTTCTATATACAAATGAATATTGAATATTAGATCTTTTCTATGAGTGAAGTCTTTGCTTTAAGTACACAAGTTCTTTTAGTTGAACAAGAAGTGGAAGATTAAAATAAAATGTAAATAAAGTATGAAAAATTTAGAACTAGTTTATGTTAAACACCTCACGCTTTAATTTTTCAATCAATTTTTGAACTAAGACATTTTAAATTAAAAACGACCGTTATTTCTATATCAAGTTTTTTAAATTCAAAATGTTCGTTATTTTATGAGTTTCTTTAAAGATTTTATTTAAATCATTTAAACTCATTATCTTTATGTAATTATGTAAAGGTTTTTTATGCCTATATAATTGTCACTGATATGTAGTGCAATTTATGGGCTTTTTCCTTTAAAACAAGAGAAAGATTAATAATAAAAATAATAATTTTTGTCATAAAATTTTGTATCAAATTTGAGTTCCCAGAAAAAAATTATTTTCTGCTTTTTAGTGTAATAAGTCCTGTAATCGGAAATAAAAGTGTGCTTTTTTAAAAAAGTATTTTTTTATAGTATTTTTTAAGGAAGCATTTTCATGATTGCTACAGGTAAGATATTCAAATTCAGTTTATTTCCACAAAAAAAAAAAAAATCGTTAAATATTCAAATGTGATAAATTGTTTTCTTCCAAATTTTGTATGCAGTTAACTATGTCTGTTTCATCAATCTGCATCAATCATCTACATCGTTGAATTATCACCAGTCATCATCGGAATCAATAATATTGTTGAAATTGGATCTTTTTAAATCTCTTTCGGAAATTTTGAGACGGGAATAGCTGTTATACAATATTTTGCAACTCGCTTCAAAAAATATCAATGTCTTCATACCAGGTAACATTCATACTAACTGTCTCCATTCGCCCATTATATGCTGGATAATTGTATTTAACTCGTATTCCATCAGAATTTACAAACGCCGAGTTTATTAGCTTTAGCCTTCTTAATTCCTTGCAAATTTTTAATAATCTCCAAACATCCTTTGCACAAAGATTCAGATTTGAAAAAAATGTTCAAAAATTCAAAAATAACAAGTTAATTAAACTATATGTTTTAAATGCTAGATTAAAGAACATGATTTGTTTTATGTTCTGTAAAAATATCTCATTCTAATATGTTGTCTAACTTCCAAAAATTCGATTCTAAGATGACAATCAATTTGTTTACAAAATGACAACAAATATTTTCTTAATTTTTTTCTCTTTTCTCCTTCTAATTTCTTGTTTTAATGCTGATAACTAGCTTAATTAAGCTTAGTACAACAAAAGTAGTAACAATATTTATAACTGAGCACTCAACGGTCAAAATCTGAGCAACTTTTTTTAAAAAGAAAAGAAACGTTACATTTTGAATATTTTTTTGTCGTTAATTAGTTTTGGCTATACATTTGCTCCTGTGAACTTATTCTTATTCTATGTTTATTCAAGTTGGTATTCACCAAGTTTTTGTAAAATATAGCAATTTTATAAATTATCAATTTTATCAATAAAGGCTACAAAGCTTTTAAATGAGAAAAAAAAAGTACTTTGTGTTTGTGTGAAGAAATCAAAGGAAACCCTATTAATTGGGCGAATAATCATGATTATTTTTTTTGAAATTTACCAAGACTTTAAACACTCATAAGTTAAATTCGCGTCTCTCCGCTTCTACCAAACCTAATAAAATCCAAAGAATAAAGTCTAATTTACCTTCCATATTAATGAGTACATGCCCAAACATGCCCGTAGCGAGATATTTGCGATTGAAAATCAGTTAATTTTTAATACAAATGACTATCGTGCGCCAAATTTTTTGATAAAAAACTTATTTATCCTCTATTTCATGACTTAATATTTTGAGGAATCAATAATCAAGGAAGATTAAATGCATTAAAAGTCCTAAACTAGAGAATATTAACAAAAAAATTTCATTACTTCAATGTGTCTGAAAAATATTATGCACAAGGGTTATTCGAACATTTTTTTCAAATCTGAATCATTGCGGCATGATAATAATTTATGCACTGGTACTCTTTTATAGATTTGCCCAAATCTAAGATTCTAAGAACTGATTTTTCATTTCCAAACTTTTTTTTATAAAATAGCCTGAAACTGATAAATCAATTGAATTAATTACATATATAATATGTCAAATAAAGCAATTACAAAAATAAAGAAATTGAATTTTTTTAAACAAAATTAATTGTTGTAGAATTATAGAGTTTACTCGTCTGACAGGTTACACTGGTCTTCTTCACAAAATATTTTATAGTTTAATAAATTGATCGTTGCTCTAATTTTTTAAAATACAATAATTAAATTTATTCAGTGCCGGTAAAACTCTAATGATAAAATAAAATAACGAACATAAAAGAACATGAAAATAAAATTACAATGTAGAAAAAACAAATATGTACATTTCGATAACAATTCTTAAATCAAAACAGACGGCAAAGCGTTTTTAAGTGTGAAAAAGATTTTTTAAAAACAAAACTTTTAGAAACTATGGCTGGATATAGATGTGTAAACTTTTATGATTTATCAAGTTTTTTAAATTCAAAATGTTCGTTATTTTATGAGTTTCTTTAAAGATTTTATTTAAATCATTTAAACTCATTATCTTTATGTAATTATGTAAAGGTTTTTTATGCCTATATAATTGTCACTGATATGTAGTGCAATTTATGGGCTTTTTCCTTTAAAACAAGAGAAAGATTAATAATAAAAATAATAATTTTTGTCATAAAATTTTGTATCAAATTTGAGTTCCCAGAAAAAAATTATTTTCTGCTTTTTAGTGTAATAAGTCCTGTAATCGGAAATAAAAGTGTGCTTTTTTAAAAAAGTATTTTTTTATAGTATTTTTTTAAGGAAGCATTTTCATGATTGCTACAGGTAAGATATTCAAATTCAGTTTATTTCCACAAAAAAAAAAAAATCGTTAAATATTCAAATGTGATAAATTGTTTTCTTCCAAATTTTGTATGCAGTTAACTATGTCTGTTTCATCAATCTGCATCAATCATCTACATCGTTGAATTATCACCAGTCATCATCGGAATCAATAATATTGTTGAAATTGGATCTTTTTAAATCTCTTTCGGAAATTTTGAGACGGGAATAGCTGTTATACAATATTTTGCAACTCGCTTCAAAAAATATCAATGTCTTCATACCAGGTAACATTCATACTAACTGTCTCCATTCGCCCATTATATGCTGGATAATTGTATTTAACTCGTATTCCATCAGAATTTACAAACGCCGAGTTTATTAGCTTTAGCCTTCTTAATTCCTTGCAAATTTTTAATAATCTCCAAACATCCTTTGCACAAAGATTCAGATTTGAAAAAAATGTTCAAAAATTCAAAAATAACAAGTTAATTAAACTATATGTTTTAAATGCTAGATTAAAGAACATGATTTGTTTTATGTTCTGTAAAAATATCTCATTCTAATATGTTGTCTAACTTCCAAAAATTCGATTCTAAGATGACAATCAATTTGTTTACAAAATGACAACAAATATTTTCTTAATTTTTTTCTCTTTTCTCCTTCTAATTTCTTGTTTTAATGCTGATAACTAGCTTAATTAAGCTTAGTACTTTGTGTTTGTGTGAAGAAATCAAAGGAAACCCTATTAATTGGGCGAATAATCATGATTATTTTTTTTGAAATTTACCAAGACTTTAAACACTCATAAGTTAAATTCGCGTCTCTCCGCTTCTACCAAACCTAATAAAATCCAAAGAATAAAGTCTAATTTACCTTCCATATTAATGAGTACATGCCCAAACATGCCCGTAGCGAGATATTTGCGATTGAAAATCAGTTAATTTTTAATACAAATGACTATCGTGCGCCAAATTTTTTGATAAAAAACTTATTTATCCTCTATTTCATGACTTAATATTTTGAGGAATCAATAATCAAGGAAGATTAAATGCATTAAAAGTCCTAAACTAGAGAATATTAACAAAAAAATTTCATTACTTCAATGTGTCTGAAAAATATTATGCACAAGGGTTATTCGAACATTTTTTTCAAATCTGAATCATTGCGGCATGATAATAATTTATGGGCGATTCTACGAATGATATTTTCTACAAATTTGTCTCCAAATCTATATTTCTTTTTATCAGTTGCATTACTCCCCATGTTTCATGTATTTAATAGTAGATTTTACCGAGATCTACATATTGTTCTCACCCAAACATATTAAAAAATGGTTAATTAAAGAATTATTTACATTCTACGAAAAATTACTCTGTTTCACATGAATTTTTTCGCCCAAATTTCCAAAATGTTTTCATTAATATCTTTAAGGTGGTAAAATTTCCAGTAATACTAAGTATACAAAGTTATAGCTTAAAGTAAAAGCTTCAAAACGATGTCAAAATCATATTTGTGGACGCCTTAATTAAGCTGCAATTTGGATTCTACGAAAAATTTCATAAGTGAAACAGAGTAACTTGGAGACAATTCCAAAAAAAAACTACCAAATATTAAAATTAAAACCAAGAATTTCTCAATCCATAGCTAAGTAATTTGAGTGCAGATGTAATCATAATTCACAGTTTAACCAATAGAAAAGGAAATGAGAATTAGATTTTTGAAAAACTATGCACACGTGAAAATAAAACAATTAAAAAATTTCGTGCAATTGACACGGATTATTTTAATGAAACCTTTTCGTAGAATTGCCCTTATGCACTGGTACTCTTTTATAGATTTGCCCAAATCTAAGATTCTAAGAACTGATTTTTCATTTCCAAACTTTTTTTTATAAAATAGCCTGAAACTGATAAATCAATTGAATTAATTACATATATAATATGTCAAATAAAGCAATTACAAAAATAAAGAAATTGAATTTTTTTAAACAAAATTAATTGTTGTAGAATTATAGAGTTTACTCGTCTGACAGGTTACACTGGTCTTCTTCACAAAATATTTTATAGTTTAATAAATTGATCGTTGCTCTAATTTTTTAAAATACAATAATTAAATTTATTCAGTGCCGGTAAAACTCTAATGATAAAATAAAATAACGAACATAAAAGAACATGAAAATAAAATTACAATGTAGAAAAAACAAATATGTACATTTCGATAACAATTCTTAAATCAAAACAGACGGCAAAGCGTTTTTAAGTGTGAAAAAGATTTTTTAAAAACAAAACTTTTAGAAACTATGGCTGGATATAGATGTGTAAACTTTTATGATTTATGTAGACTTTGTTCCTCTGTAGCAGGAGATAAAAATATTCAAATTTATTCAAATGAAACTTTATTGAAAAAGATTAACGAATGCTTGTCAATAACATTAAATGATGCAGATCAATTGCCAAGAATCATCTGCCCATCCTGTAAAGAATACATTGAAATTTTTTCAGAGTTTAGAAAATCGTGCAAAAATGTACAGCAAATGCTTGAAAGTTGTTTGAACAGTACAAAACTTAGAAATGGCGGTCAGGTGTATATAAAGGATGAAATACCATCGAAGAAGGTATTGAAACCTATTCCAAATGTAAACATCCAAATTGCAACATCTCCAACAACAAATTCTGTAAAAAAAAATGTAATTACACAAAATCCCCCTGATTTTTTAAGTAGCATTATGCAAGCAGTTGGAATACAGGTAATTCAAAAAAATATGTCAAATTATATACATACGTTAATTTTAAATAAATGTCATTGCCGTAGACTGTTGAAGAAGTAACCGAAAATTGTGCAAACCTGTCACAGCAAAATTTTCAGCAACAACAAATGGCGATTCAATCATTGCCTCAATACACTCTAACTTTGGACACAGTCAAACCGGGACAGATCCAGTATAAAATTGAAAATGCTAGTAATTTACTTGGCCAATCACCTACGATAATAGCAAAAAATCTTCAGAATCAACAAGTTACTCTAAATCATGTAGATGAATTCTTAAAGAATAAGCCTGCGATTATTGTTAAAAAAGAAGTTCCAATAGACGATAGAAAAGACAAAAGAGCAAAATTTAACTTAATTCTGAAGCCACAACAAAAGCCAATTCAAAAAATTCAACCATCTCAAATTGTATCAACGACAAAAAGAACATTAAGTACACAAAATCACAAAGCACAAATTCTAAATATTGAAAAAATATTGCCTGTTGCAAATCAAACATCGCCTACAAAGCAGGTAGTTGTTCCAGTAATGATTCGAACTAACAATGATGGACGCATCGGAGATGCAAAAAAACAATTGCTAACACAAGCAATAGCAGGCAATCATGGAACTGAAAATAAGGCATCTATTCAACAGCCTTTTTTCATGCAAATGAAACTTCAATCAAATTCTGATGGTCAGTTTACATTCACACCCGCAGCAGCTGCTCCTCATCAAATTCAATTGTCACTTTCTCCACAGCAATTGCAACAGATAAGTTATCAAACTACACATGCTCAATCATCGCAACCAGCACTTCAAACACAAAACGTCTCTACAGTTCAAGACATTCAAACCCAGACAATTGTTCAAGAGTCACACGAAAATAACGAGGAAGAGATTTTTAGTGATACATTTGAAAACGACTATTATCCGGGAGAGGAAGAAAGTGAATTTCATGAAGATCCAGAAAAAAATTTTAATAATGTTACTGACAAAAAAACACCTTCAAAAAAGACTTTAAAAACGATCAAACCCGTCAAGTTAAAGACAAAGTTAGACATAGCTACGAATAATGATATACCAACCATCAATCCTCAACATTCTGAAATGGCTAAGAAGCAATTGAATCTAATAACTAGTTACAATAATAATACCAGTAAACGAATAGAAAATGAAACTATCGATAAAACTAGTGATATTAGTTTAACTGTTTGTGATGTATGTGATTTCAGATTTTTTTAAAATTATATTATTATTAAAATTATTAACATTTCATGTCGCTTTTTTAAGGTTTGCAAAAAAGTTTTCAAAAGAAAGGAATTTTTGATGCAACATTTAAAATCACACATAGGATTGCGGTAATTATTATTCAGTAGCGTAACCAGCATTTCATAATTAAAATTACTAAAAGCAATAATCTTTCAGACCCTTTAAATGTGAAGAATCACAGTGTAATAAATCATTTTCAAGAAAGGAACATCTTCTGCGTCATATTTCCAGGTTTGTACTACATTTTTCTTCGTAATTCTCATTCTATATCACATTTGTTTTAATAGCCACACTGGGAAAAAGGAGTTTACCTGCAATATATGTAACAAACTATTTAGCAGAAAGGATAATCTGAATAAGCATCGAAGGTAAATAATAGTGTATGCTATATCATTTCAGGGGCTGTTTACATATCACTTAACCTAAAAATGACCACTTTTTGACACCCCTCCAGCTTCTCTTGACAAAAAAATTACAGAAGTCCTCGTGTTATTAATCGAGGGACTTAAGCGCATTTTTGTGTTAGCGATCAGTATTTGATTATCTAATTATTTGCGTTGATTTACAAATCATTAGAATATTAGAAGATCATTAATTTTAGTGTAATTAACAAATAATTATAATAAATGCTTATATAGAAAGGCTTTATTGTTTAACAGTCAATAAATAATTTGAAATTTTCCCGCTAAAAGTTGCACTTCAAAAACAATAATATGGTATAATTAATAATTTGTAGCAATGAATTTCCATGCATAAAAAGTTTATCATTTAACGATTATTTGAGATTCAAATTTTCTAACGGTCAGTAAGTTTTTGAAAGCTTCCCACCAAAAGATACACAAAAAAGCATTAACTATAATATATTTAACAATTTAATATCTTTAATTCTCTTATATAAATTGTTTATCATTTAACGGTTTTCTGAAGTTCAAATTTTGTAACGGTCGTTTGCATTTGAAAGTATCTTGCCAAAAGTTACAGTAAAAGCATTAATTATAGTATAAATAACAGTCTGTTGCAAAAAATTTTCTGACTGAAACTGTTTCAAGACTTTTAAATGCGTTTCCCGAAAATAAAACAATGGACCTGAGCTAATAAAACAAACTAGAACTCTCTACGATGTCTAGTTAAAAAGTTTTTCTCCGCCCGAACGAACGAACAAAGTGAATTATTAAGCTACCTTTTCGAAACAAGTTTCAAAAATGCGCTAAAAATTGTATGTAGGCTAGTGCATCAGGTAGAAATATATATTCAAACCGTAACAGCGAAAATTTTGTTGATAGACCATGCTTTGCTCAGCATAGCTTTGAGTACGCTCGTGAATACGGTGTGAATATAAAAAATTCTTTTTAGTTGAACTGTCACAAAATCTCAAACCTCTCCTCCTCCCTTTAGAAAGCTAGATAATATATGACCAACCCCTAATAATATTTTTAACATTATATCAAATCATGATTTTTGTTATATTTTTAGAATACATCCTGACACAGAACAATGCTCGCGTCAAAAGTAAAATTTTCGTCAAAATCTGTTTGTTTCAATAGTATAATTCTAGATGAAATTTGGGTATACACATCAATTAATTTTAAATTGCTTTAAATTCTAAAAGATCTGCTTCCTCTATATATATTGGATTTTAGGTTCATTATAAATTATATTTCAAAAGTTTAAACTTACTTCAACAGATCTTTAAGTAAAAAATACAAAAAATTAAAATTTATTGATTATCCCAATTTTATGGGGAATCATACACATTTAATACCATTACAGACAATCTCAAGTTGAAAAAAACTGAATTAAAATGTGATGCTAAAGATGACAGAAATGAGGTAAAGCTTTACTTGAGAGCATTATATATTTAACAGGGCTCGTGAACAATCGTGATGATCTTACTCAACATATAATCATTTAATATCATTGATCGATCATTTTTCGAACCCTCATTATTTAAGTTAACGCGATATTTTTTTTAAAAAATTTGACTCAAAATTAAATTTGAATTAAACTTTTAGGTGAAAAAAATTAAGTTAAGACAAGAATTAAAAGAGGAATATTGTTCTCAAAATGTACAGAAGCAAACGTCCCAGCAACCAAAAATCGTACAACTGCAGCAGGTTGAAAATGATAGTTCACAACAAATAATTATATCCATGTCACAATCTAGATAACAGACAAAGAGCATGCTCTCAATGAGTATACTCACTTAAATGTACTGACTGAGTTAACTCGTGAGCATACTCAGCTAATATATTTTAGTGAGCATACTCATTGAGAGCATGCTCTTTGTCTTTAGATCTAAAGCTATATATACTCTACCCAAAAATATTATTATCAATCAACCTGCTTCTTTCAAAAAATCAAATAATGATCTCGTTGGAAATATAAAATATAAAGCACAGTAAAATTAATAATTGACTTGGTGTTTTGATGTATAAACTAATAAAAAGACATTATTATGATAATAATTTATTTAAACGTTCAGTAAATGTGTAAATCGAGTAGATCATTTTGCTGCTCATATAATTTATTTTTTATTAATGATAAATGTTTTTAAGGACATGCCTAGATTTTTCAAGTACCAAAGATTCTGAAGATAAGTTCGATTTTTTTTTAAATTAGTTTTAAAAAAGTAAAAAAACCTTATAAAATTTGTGTAATAAAAAATAAATAAATGTTTCAAAAAGAAATTTTAAAACTCGATTGTTTGTTCCTTTAAATATTTTTTCTTCCTTTATTTTAATTATTAATTGTTTATATTACTACGATTCAAATTCTTTTGCTTTCAAATTTATCTTGGCATTGGAGGTGCCAATCCTGCCATTCCTTGGGTTCCGGGTCCTAAAAGCATTTGATTCTGTTGTGATTTTTGCATTTGTTCCATTTGCGCTCTTTCTGTTTCAAAAATTACAGGAGCAAAGAGTATCATAGAGCTAGTAAAAAATATCCATGATGCTGAGCAAGCAAATTGATAAAAAGAAACAACACTTTTCTCGGTAATTGTAAAAACATTTTCCGATAAATTCCTCACACTTTCAGGAAGCATTTCTGTAAGTCCGATTAGTCGTTCGCCGAATGTTTCATCAGGTTCCTAAATAATGGAAATAAATTCTATAAATTAACGATTGACTTTATAATATAGGAACGAAATTTTCTTCTTACATCTTCAAAGTCTTCCTCTATACTTCCAGATAACGCGACTTCCTAAAATACACGATAAATGATGTAAATAAAGGTTAAATCAAATCGATTTTTTTTTTCTTTTAGATTCCTCACATTTTTAGCTACTATGCTATCATCTTTTGGTGCATCCATTTTTTAATCAATTATGATGACTGTTTTGCTAGTTCAGTATTAACGTCTTTAAGTTTATTAACGAAAATAAATAATATTATTTTTGATAATCTCAGTAAAAAAACATAAAATTATGGGCAAAAAAATGGCATCATTAATCATAATCGAATGATACATACCTTTCTTTTTTGGTAATTAGCTTTATTTTAGATGATATATTATTCAAATTTAAAGAATTATAGCAAAAATTTAAAGAAATATTTAATCGCAAACAAAGGGAACGTAACTAGGAACTTTTAAGTAAAAGGTGCGGTAAATTTCAAAATCAATATTAATAGGGCGATTCTCTGCAGGGTAAATTGAAAACTTAAACTAGTAATGAAGCCGATCACGCTTCATGGGAATATTCACACAATCCTATAGAACTCTCTATGTATTGTTCAGAAAATCTTGAAAAATCTTCTCTCAATAAAATGTAAGACTTAATATCAACATTTTGCTGTATTATCAACAAAGTATACCACGCATTAAAAACACGTTTTGCAACGAAAATCATGATTCTAGTGTCGCAAAAAGATAACATTTTTTGAAATTTGGAATCAAGATCCAGTAAAGTTTTAATCATGGCTGAAACTTGAAAACAAGATCCAGTAAAGGTTTAATCATGTATGAAGCAATAAACCAAAATCCAGTTAAGTTTTAATCATGTCTGCAACAAATTATTATAAATCAGTATAGATTCAATCATGTCTGAAGCTTGAAAACAAGATCCAGTAAAGGTTTAATCATATCTAAAACAAAAAACCAAGATCCAGTAAAGGTTTAATCATGTCTGAAGCAATAAACCAAGACCTAGTTAAGTTTTAATCATGTCTGAGGTTTGAAAACAAGATCCAGTAAAGGTTTGATCATGTCTGAAGCAATAAACCAAGATCCAGTTAAGTTTTAATCATGTCTGCAACAAAATATTATCATTCAGTAAACTTTTAAGCATGTCTGAAACTTGACACCAAGATCCAGTTAAGTTTTAATCATGTCTGAAAATTAAAAACAAGATCCAGTAAAGGTTTGATCATGTCTGAAGCAATAAACCAAGATCCAGTAAAGTTTTAACCATGTCTGAAGCTTGAAAACAAGATCCAGTAAAGGTTTAATCATGTATGAAGCAATAAACCAAGATCCAGTAAAGGTTTAATCATGTCTGAAGCAATAAACCAAGACCTAGTTAAGTTTTAATCATTATACTTTACTTTTTACAGAAAGTGACTTTACGATTTACCTTAATCAATAAATTAATATTTAAAGTAGAGTTTTTCATATGAAGGAAGCAAGTTGGTTGTTCAAGGTCTTCACAAAAGTTGTAGATTTTGATATTTTCTATCAAAACATCGTATTGTGACTTCAAAAAACTGAATAAATTAAGTTAATTTAACTTAAACTCAATTTGTTGAAAAAATCGCTTTTTAACCGAAAATTTTAACTCTAATTGACTGAAAACAATTAATAAGTAGCTAAAAAGTCATTTTCTATAGAAATTGTATCTATGAAAGGCTTTAAAATGAGTTAAATTAACTCAAAAACATTGCAATTTTAATTGAGCAACATGTTTTGCTCAATTTCACTCAGAATTTCATAAGAATTTTGAATTTTTTAATACCGTTACAAAATTCTTGGTTAATCTTTTTAACATTTTATGATTTTAAAGGCTTTCCATAAAGACTTTAATTTTTTTCTTTTGCAACAAGATGCATCTTATGTTTTGCTATAGTTTTACATTGAAAAATCATTAGAACAATAAAACAGCAAAAAGTTGTATCTAGTTTTCTTAAATTCATTGTAACTTTGTTAATTAAAGTAGAACTTGAATTTTTTTCAAATAAGCTTAAGAAAAACCATATTTGCTACCTTTGTTGTCAACACAGCTAGTTCCTAAACTGTTTCCTTCATATGGAATTTTCAACCAAAACATTTTTAACGTTAATTAAGCTTACTTATGAAGCCGCAATTTTAAATTTTTTAGTCTAAACATTTACTGCCACGAACTCTTAATTCATCAGTGAAAGAATTTTTAAGATTGGTTTATAAGTTGCAGAGATATTGCATTTGCAACATAGTGTAAAATCGAATTTCCTTTAAATTGTTCGTGACGCTTAGCAATTTAAATTAATTTTTAAACTATAGCACAATGTCAAAATGCCACTTGTTATATACCAAAATGCAGGTCCTGGCGAGAGCTTTTAGAACAACATAAGCTGATCAGCATTATTTGCATTAAGGATTTAAAAATTGTAAATTATTGCTCAGCGTCACGAACAATTCATTTTTGATCTTGCGCTTATCATTTATAATACCTAGATATGTTTTAAAATGCAATTTAAAGCATTTTTGGTTTTGATCATAGCAGGCTATTTTCAAAAAAATATCGATTTTATATCTATATCAGCATTCTTTATCATTTATAATACCTAGATATGTTTTAAAATGCATTTTAAAGCATTTTTGATTTCGATCATAGTAGGCTATTTTCAAAAAAATATCGATTTTATATCTATATCAGCATTCTTTATCATTTATAATACCTAGATATGTTTTAAAATGCATTTTAAAGCATTTTTGATTTCGATCATAGTAGGCTATTTTCAAAAAAATATCGATTTTATATCTATATCAGCATTTTTTATCATTTATTATACCTAGATATGTTTTAAAATGAAATTTAAAGCATTTTTGGTTTTGATCATAGTAGGCTATTTTCAAAAAAATATCAATTTTATATCTTTATTAGCATTCTTTATCATTTATTATACCTAGATATGTTGTAAAATGCAATTTAAAGCATTTTTGGTTTTGATCATAGTAGGCTATTTTCAAAAAAATATCGATTTTTTATCTATATTAGTATTCTATATCATTTATAATACATAAATATGTTTTAAAATGCAATTTAAAGCATTTTTGGTTTTGATCATAGTAGGCTTTTTTCAAAAAAAAAAACGATTTTATATCTATATTAGCATTCTTTATCATTTATAATACCTAGAAATGTTTTAAAATGCAATTTAAAGCATTTTTGGTTTTTGATCATAGTAGGCTATTTTCAAAAAAATATCGATTTTATATCTATATTAGCATTTTTTTTCATTTATTATACCTAGATATGTTTTACCCAAGAACTCTTGGAAAGAAGCTGTTGACAGAGACAGTATTGCATTTGGTATGGTTAATTGGCAAACGGAAGCCAGCGACAGAGTCAGCTTCAGGCGCCATCTAAGGGAGGCCATGGATCACAATTGATCTGTACGGCCAGCGAAGTAAGTAAGTAAGATATGTTTTAAAATGCAATTTAAAGCATTTTTGGTTTTGATCATAGTAGGCTATTTTCAAAAAAATATCAATTTTATATCTTTATTAGCATTCTTTATCATTTATTATACCTAGATATGTTTTAAAATGCAATTTAAAGCATTTTTGGTTTTGATCATAGTAGGCTATTTTCAAAAAAATATCGATTTAATATCTATTTTAGAATTCTTTATCATTTATTATACCTAGATATGTTTTAAAATGCAATTTAAAGCATTTTTGGTTTTGATCATAGTAGGCTATTTTCAAAAAAATATCGATTTTTTATCTATATTAGTATTCTTTATCATTTATAATACCTAGACATGTTTTAAAATGCAATTTAAAGCATTTTTGGTTTTGATCATAGTAGGCTATTTTCAAAAAAATATCGATTTTTTATCTATATTATTATTCTTTATCATTTATAATACCTAGAAATGTTTAAAAATGCAATTTAAAGCATTTTTGGTTTTTGATCATAGTAGGCTAATATCGATTTTATATCTTTATTAGCATTCTTTATCATTTATTATACCTAGATATGTTTTAAAATGCAATTTAAAGCATTTTTGGTTTTGATCATAGTAGGCTAATATCGATTTTATATCTTTATTAGCATTCTTTATCATTTATTATACCTAGATATGTTTTAAAATGCAATTTAAAGCATTTTTGGTTTTGATCATAGTAGGCTATTTTCAAAAAAAATATCGATTTAATATCTATTTTAGAATTCTTTATCATTTATTATACCTAGATATGTTTTAAAATGCAATTTAAAGCATTTTTGGTTTTTGATCATAGTAGGCTATTTTCAAAAAAAAATATCGATTTTATATCTATATTAGCATTTTTTATCATTTATACTACAAGAAATGTTTTAAAATGCAATTTAAAGCATTTTTGGTTTTTGATCATAGTAGGCTATTTTCAAAAAAATATCGATTTTATATCTATATTAGCATTCTTTATCATTTATTATACCTAGATATGTTTTAAAATGCAATTTAAAGCATTTTTGGTTTTGATCATAGTAGGTTTTTTTCAAAAAAATATCGATTTTATATCTTTATTAGCATTCTTTATCATTTATTATACCTAGATATGTTTTAAAATGCAATTTAAAGCATTTTTGGTTTTGATCATAGTAGGCTTTTTTCAAAAAAATATCGATTTTTTATCTATATTAGCATTCTTTATCATTTATAATACCTAGATATGTTTTAAAATGCAATTTAAAGCATTTTTGGTTTTGATCATAGTAGGCTATTTTCAAAAAAATATCGATTTTTTATCTATTTTATTATTCTTAATCATTTATAATACCTAGAAATGTTTTAAAATGCAATTTAAAGCATTTTTGGTTTTGATCATAGTAGGCTAATATCGATTTTATATCTTTATTAGCATTCTTTATCATTTATTATACCTAGATATGTTTTAAAATGCAATTTAAAGCATTTTTGGTTTTGATCATAGTAGGCTATTTTCAAAAAAATATCGATTTTTTATCTATATTAGTATTCTTTATCATTTATAATACCTAGACATGTTTTAAAATGCAATTTAAAGCATTTTTGGTTTTGATCATAGTAGGCTATTTTCAAAAAAATATCGATTTTTTATCTATATTATTATTCTTTATCATTTATAATACCTAGAAATGTTTAAAAATGCAATTTAAAGCATTTTTGGTTTTTGATCATAGTAGGCTAATATCGATTTT